TAGTATATAGTTTTATACTTAAAAGTCGATTTTTATGCAGAAGTCTGACAATTGAATGTCACACACACCACAAGACTTAAGTCCAAAGTATCAAAGCAAGATCATCTCTCGCTGGATTTCAACTGCTGTCGTGAAATAAAACCATCTTTAAAAGATTATTTTATGAATTAATAAATTTTCTATAACTGTCACTTAAAATTTAACCTCAATATATTGTGTTGATGATCATGTCACTAGAAACTGGCAGAATGAAATTGACCTAAATATGTAAGTATGTAAAACATCGTCCACGTGTGAATATTCTGATGAATTCTTAATTTATCATGACAAGTAAAATATTTTTAAAGTTTCACTAAATATTACTCTCATACAAGTATGTTTTGAGGTGAATTTTGGGTAATACAAATGTGAGTATAAAGTAGTTAGATCAACAGCGTGCATTTTGTAATATTTAAATGGTTGATATTGTTTGACGGGAGATTTTCAATTCATTCACATGATAAAGTATACATTAAGGGATGCACCTTATTCTACTTAAAGTAACTGATTTTATTTTATTTGTCAAAAACTCAGCTCACTCAGATGTTACATGAGATTATGTTCAAGTTTCAGTAAACTGACATATTTTTTAAGCGTTTTTCTTTACGAAGAGATTTTAATTTTTTCTAAATTTTGGAGGATTTTATAACAATTGTATAAGACATCTGCTATATAGAATTCATCAGTTGAAATGAAAACAAAGTATTTGAAATAATCAAATATCACTTATATAAATTTTTTTCTGCTAAAAATGTGTAGAAGTGAAATTTTATAACAATCTATTTGTAAATGTTTTTGATGTAGTTAGCACATGGTGGCACGGTATTATTAAATAATTCGCGTTATTTCATGGTTAGGTAATAACAATCTGAGCTACCATACACAAATCTGTTTATTACGTTTTAATACAAGAAATTCTCCCTTTTTCTACCTAGATTCTACATTTAATGAACACCTTGCATAGATGGATACGTAGAATTGTGATGGATGAAGATAGCACAAATATTGCATCAGTAACGAACGCCCCTACAAAAAGTTACATTTATGCATAGGACCCTCAGTGGTCAGACACTTATGCTCAGATGTTTCGAAGACTGATAAAACTGTAGAAAGCCAGTTAAACGAAATAAAGAAACTACCTTGCATGTGTTTTCCCTACTCAATCTTGTGTCCTAGTATGTTACCTGTGTTGTTCATAAACAACTGAATTGTTAAAACACCTAATCTAATTAGCTGTAACATTGTTCTTTTAAGTTCCACGTCACTGCTGGAGCATCTTTAATAACTGGACAATCTATGTGTTCAGCAGTTTCCTAGAGGAAAAAACAGTTTTGAAGACTAGTTTAGTTACATAGATGTATGTCAGTAACGCAATGTTTCATCTATATATGCTAATAAGTGGGTGCAATGATAGCTCGTGTGCGTCGGTGGCATAGTGGTTAGGACGTTCGCCGACCATGCACATGGTCCGGGGTTCGATCCACGGCCGACGCACTCCTTTACCTAACTAAGCCAGAAATAAAGCTGGTGGAAAGGAAAGGTTGGGCATGAGGGTAGTAACCCCATTCTGTAAAGATAAACACTACTACAGAAACTTCAAGCCTCTAGCTTGAAGCCCTATGTTCCACTGGGAACGTGAAGGAATAAAAAAAATGATATCTCGTAAGTCACTGGATTTGTCCATTAAACTTTACATTATGAATACGCGAAATATGTTTGTAATTTTGTTCATATTTTCTCCCCTTGCGTCTCTGTCTTTTACATCCGTTATGCAGCTACTTCTTAGAAGGTTTTATGTCAATTTTCAAATGCAAAACTGAACACTTTCTAATCAATCATGCTGAAAAGAATCACACTTCAAAGTCAATGTCACGTTGATTATCAACCTACATTGCAAAATCATCATCATAAAAAATAAATTTTACGGTTCGGTGGATCAATCCAATCCAGTCAGTTTTGAAATAAGAGACAAGATTTGTAACTCAGGTGGATAATTCAGTTGCAAAGCTTCCATTATCATTCACAGAGAAGTCTGTCCTGAAGATGCCATCTAAAAAGATAATGAAAGCTTCGCAATTAAACCACCTAGCTAAGAAAATGCAACCACGTCGGAATCCAATGGATTTCTCAATATAATTACGTAAAGTCCAGAATAATACTGAATGATATGAATCTGCATGGACAAACTCAGGCCATGAAATCACTGACAGTTAGTCTGAGCCACGTAGGTAGGCGCAGACTGTCTAGTTTAAGTCCACAGGATTCTAAGAATCAGTGGCTGGAGGCAATCGGTGATATAGCTCAAAACCGTTCTCCACGGCGAAGGTGCATTCACTCTCTATGATCTGCTGTATCCAATACAACTCTATTGTTTTTCTTTGTTACTATTCTGCTCATCATGGTTCTTTCGAATCTCTTTTTTCTCATGTCTTCTTTTGAGTGCTACAAGGAGTGTGGAAATTTAAAGTGCTGCACTTCTGTGCAAAGTTCTATGTTGAAACCAGTCATTCAGTCAGCATGAGCAAACAAAAGATACAGAAAAATTAACTGTAGAAGGTCTTAAAAAATTAAGCTGGAAAAGAACAAAAACAAGTTTCAACTTTTGGTTTTGTAGGGATTTTGTTTGATTGGTTGGATGATTTCGTTTTGAGCTGACATCAGTTGGAGAACCACTGCGAAACCTAAGAGTACTGGACAGCTATTTCATCCTAGTTTTGGACTCTTCACATTACGCACCCAGCTGTCCAGTACTCCTAGGTTTTCCAATGATTCTCTCACCGATGTCACCTGATGATGAAATCCTCCAACCAATCAAACAAAATTCCCTGCAAAACCAATACTTGAAAACTAATCCAATGCTCACTAGCGACTGGCTGTATTCAGGCAGTTACCTGAGGTTCTAATGGGAAGCCGTGAGCAGTATGGTGCAGCAGGTTGAAGGTGAGGCAGTAACTCATCGAAGAAGACATTACGAAGTGATCACGCTATGTCACGAATTGGCAAAAGTTAGAATTCATGGGCTGACCATTGGATCGGGTCCCAATGGCTTAATGGTCTACGAGCTAGCTCACCTTGTAACCAGAAGGTCCTGGGTTCAGCTCTTGTCGGTAGGTGCCTACTGCTGAATAGTCCCAAACTAGGATGGAAGAAAAATCTGTCCAGTACTCCCTGGTGGTTTTCCAATGGTTTTCTAACTGATGTCAGCTCATGATGAAGTCATCCAACCAAAAAACAAGTTTATGAATATAAATAAAATGCTTAGAATTTCGATGATTACGCAGCCATCATTGGTCACACCTTGTATTCTATTCTTCAAGTTTTCAGTTTAAGAAAGCATTTAAAAATATATCTCAATGGAGTATAAGAATTAAAATGCTGTCATACTATCTTGGAAAATATTTTGCACATTACAAGTAAACTGCTTAAATCACTTAGCTACCTAATTTTCTTCAGAGCACAAATGATCAAATTTACTTAGTTATACTTCTTTTAATCAGTTATTTAGGTCCTTGAAGAACAATCTGTACTAAATTACGTGAATTTCTAAGTGATTTTCAACATACTGCTTAGAATGTTCTGTGGGATTGGGCCACATCACAAAGAGAACAAAATCTACCCCGTACAAATGAAATACTGTAGATTACTGTATTACTGAAGCTTCTATATAAGCAGTGGATTAAACCAAGATGATGATTCTGTACTGAATATAAACATGTTCAGAACAAGGGCATTATTATTATTTCATGTGTTAATAACTTATAAAAATGATAGTGACTACCATCCGAATAAATATAGCCGTTTATGACAATGTAAAGTTTGAGATAAAAAGGTAAATAAAAAAATTTGTAAACACATTGATAATGCTGTTAGAATAGGGCATAATATAAATACTTTTAGCATTTATATTACTCAATAAGATAAATATTACATGATAATAATTAGGGAAAGTGTTTACAACCTTTCGGCTGGCTTTTTATGCTTATTAGATTTTAACAAAGTAAAAATATACAGTAGAATTGAAAATTTTCGCTTCTCATGAAGCCAGTAAACACCACATATGACAAAAAAGCAGCTATTCAAATAATATCCATGATACACATTAAAAAATAATCATTTCTAAATAAATAAGAAATCAGCAAACCATTATTTAAGCCAAAAGTAATTAAACTGTTGAAAACTGGCTTAAAGTTTATTGCTTTGATTCAACCATGTATACTCTTTAGTCATCAAATATTCAGGGCATAAAGTGACTTCAAGTTTGACCAAGAACTGACTTCATTTGGGGAACGTTTTAAAAGCAGGAAGGACCAGACAGCTATTTTACCCTAATTTGGGGCTCCTAAACAGGAATTGAATTCAGGACCTTGAGGACAGCTCATTGAAGATTCAACCACTGGTACAAAATCCCATGGCCCATCAGTTCTAACTTCTGCCAATTTGTGATGTATAACGTGACTGCGAGGTTTAATAAGTCGGGTGTGAGGACAGATACTCACCTATGACACTGGCTGGCCAACGTGTTATAAGTCGCGAATTGGCAGAAGTTAGAATTCATGGACTAACCATTGGGTTCCATTCAAAGTGGCTGAATAGTTTACCAGTTGGCTTCGAGACCTTAAAGTTCTGGGTTCAACCGCCTGGTGGGGTAATTGCTTCGTACTTCCCAAACTAGGACGAAACAAATGTCCAGTACTCCCTGATTTTCAGTGGTTCTCTAGTTGAAGTTAGTTCATGACCACCCTTGCAGCCAATCAAGTCCCTACGAAATGAAACTTGAAAAAATTAAATAAACTGATTGCATGCAGTTATTCGGAAACTAGAAGTGTAAGTAAACGTTTTTAACAAAGGTTAAAACATAAGGAACATCAGGCTGTAGATAGGCAGATAAAATAAAATAAATCAAATAGTTTATAAAAAAGAAAAGAAAGAAAAACCAAGCAGGTATAAAATTAGAGACTTACCCACTGAGTGTAGTTATTATCACAAGTTAATGAATGATTAAAAGAATAATGAAGAAGCAGTTGTGAATATCTTATCATATGCGACAAGGCGAAGAACTATATGAATTATAAAATGACTGAGAAAAGCTTACAAGAAAGTAGATGACTTAACCAACCAATTGATCGATTACTTATTAGAAAACCAATTTTAACGAGATTCTAAATATAGGTGATTTGTTCACGATAAAGAGAACGCTATATTATGATATGCATATTAGTTTTATTGACTCTAATAAGTCGTCCAGCAGATACTAGACCTCTAGTAACTTAGGTTTCATAAATTTTAAAATATCAAATGTTTCTTAAAAACTTTAAACTTATGATATATATATGTTTGTAGAAGATCTGGACTTCGCCGGGTGATTTAGGTCTAATGTCATACAAACTAGAAGACTCACAGGCGAAAACCAACAAGCTGTCAAAAGGGGTAGACAGCATGGAGAGGAATTCAAGTGCATATAAAGAAGACGGAAGTGATGAAGATGATTAACCGACGACAACAACAACAACAAGCACCATTCACTATCAATGGAATAAAATTTGAAAGAGGTCACTTCCTTCACTTATCTAGGCAGCATCGTCTAAACTGCAAGCGACAGCATGGATGAGAATGTCAAAAGCAGATTCGAAAAGGAAGGGAAGACGATCATAACTCTGAAATCAGTTTGAATGTCCGCTGCACTCAACATAAGAAAGCAAAATTCAGATTTTCAAAACCAGTGTTAAATCATTTCTTATATATGTTTCAGAAACTTGCCGCGTCACGAAAAGCATCTTCAACCGACCGTAAACTTCTGTCAACGGTTTTGATCATTCGTATGTATACTAGAATGTTCCAAATTCCCTGTTATATGCATTCGCTGGTGATTCGGTAAATACCACCTATCTATGATATCTAGAGCATTCTAATATCCGTCCGACAAGTGGAAAACTATTATAAACAAGTTTCAAAGTTGTCGAGTAACAATGGATACGATTACGGATAACAATTTATTTGAAATGTCATCCTATGAATAATACTGTTTCATTGTATGATACAAAAAGCGAATAAGGAATTACGCACTACTACCAAGGTCTCTAAGCTCTCCCTATAAGTGATATTCAGAAAATTCAGCGGATAAAACTATAAAACCGGCAGTAAAAAGTCTGTGAAAACATTAAAACTATGAAATAATAACATTAATTAGAACCTGTCATTTTGACTGTTGTTGTTTTACCGAACATTGAACACCTGAACGATCAATTTAAAGTTGATGTTTGAAACAGTTCTACACATTGGCAGTTCAATAAATCATTTCAGTATAGCCATAGATGCTTACTGCTTATTCGGTCTAGATACTTTCACTTACTACCGAAGTTGACAAGTGTACACCACACTTCTCAAATAACACTTTATAAAAATTGAAAGTAACTTATTTCAATAAGCAAGGCAATTGTGGAATCATTTTCTGGACACACTATTGATACTGGTTATTACTAAGTATCTTACAAACATTACCATCTGACAGTGAGCGTTTTCCCATCATGCAAGGTGATCTTCGCACTACTTGTTTGTCGGACTAAGAGAAAAAAATGACAGTAGTCACACTCATCCTATTTCACATATTACTGCATAGCTGTAAATAGAAGTTCATTATTATTCACTTACTTCTCAAGGGAAATATATAGCTTCAAGCTTGAGTCTTGAAGTTTTAGCATCAGTGGTTTTTATTTTTACTTGGTGGAGTTGCTGGCTTCACGCCCAACCTCCCCTCCTTAACGGAATTACTATGGCTTAAGTGAGGTTTAGGATCGGGGGCGGCCGGGGATCGAACCCTGAGCTACATGCATGATTAGTGAGCATTCTACCGCTCCACCACTGACGCACAAATAGGACGTTACTATTCACTTATCATGAAACTTTTTCTACAAACAATGTTAATTTTGATTGTAAATTATGCAACAAATAAACTTCGAGGTTAAAACTTTAAAGTGCAATAAAAAGGGATTCATAGTCAACTTTGAAAATAAAGCCGTAGATATGATACAAAGCAAAAATGAAAGGTAGCTTCATGCAATACTTTGAATATTGTTAAACAACAATCACCATATAATAAATTCACAGACTAGAAGGTTCAATACACCACAAATAGTCAAGAGAATAATTCTACTTTTATTAATATATTTTACAAAAACAAAACAAAAGGCTAACCTATAAAAAATAATTATAACGACAAACTATTATAATAATCACCAGTTTAAATTTATGTACAAAACTGCAACCAATTTATGAGTAGGATATACAACGTTTGCATTATGAATGTTCTAAATTCAAGTGTGTCAGTCAGTTGTATTTTGGTGAGAGCGAACAAGCCAAAATTGTAAACAACAATTTACGTCAGTTTTACGTCTGGAATCAGGGTCATGGGAAAGACGATAACAAAGCTTAACCTTGAGGAACTCACCAACCAATCACAGCAGACTTAACGTGTACAAATAGGATTCGTAGATAAATGGCTTAACTTTCTGAGAAATGGTCACAAGCGGTACAGAATAGCCTCCAGCTAGAAAACAACCAATCATAAGACGTTGCTTCTCCGCTGCCAATAATGTAAACAAAAATCTATGAATATCTGTTGATTTTCTCAATAAACGATCTGTTGCCTAGCTCTTGTCTTCTGTTGTTAAAGTATGAGTATTTATAAAACATACAGTCAACTTTTACAGATAATTCTGAGTTTATTGAAAAACTCAGGTTTCTCAGCAGAGTATCATTTGTACGTGTGACGTCCAGTTGAAACATCCGCTTTTCCTTCTTTTTGTATAATAATCACATATATAAGGCTAATTTATTTGAAACTGATTCATTACTATGCTTATTTTTAATTTCCATATTATTGCTTGAAAATCCTAGCATGATGGCCAATTTGAACACTATAAGACGTACGAATCTTTATGCTTTTACACTGGTATAAATATTTACAGCTAAATGAAATGTCCAATCATTTACGTTGTTTTACCTCGACGATACCTTAAGCTTGAGACAACTGTACGCTGGACCATAAATATCCACTCTATAGCATTGTCATTATCTAGGTACACATTATTGTGAACCAATATACTTTTCACCTATTTCTGAAGCGTAGAAGATACTTATAGATAAAGCAGTATTTTAAAAGATACTGTTACGTAATTCTGTTTATTAGAAGATATATACCATACTAATATAGAGTAGATAACTATGTTTGTGTACTACACTGCATGTGAATGTATATTGAATATGTATTTTATTACACTATAAGTAAGGAATGATATTCATAAATAGAAATTAGTATTAATCAATCTAACGTTATGTATACGATTGGTTTGTTGAATGTTGTTGAACAATCTAAACACCCTTTATAGAAGAAAACATAATGACTAATTTTCCTCACGTCTTTAAAACATTCACAAGTCTGTGAATAGTTAGTTCCATTCTATAAATATATGAAAATGATTAGAAGACAAGTAAATCAATTTATTTCTGTGTGTAGCAGAAGCATGATACGAGACACTTCAAACTTGCTAAATATATATGCATTCTGAAAACAGAATGGTATATACACTCTAAGGACAGAAATGGAATCAGGGAATTGGCTGCTTGCGAAATCGATGAAGTATTCATTTGCTTCTTGGGTATCTATAATACATCAAACTACTGCTTTTGGCGCTTACATAAAAGGGCATGGCTATCAAAATAAAACAAATCAAGACGTTAGTTATGTTATTAACACAGTTACTACAAATGTGGCAGCACTATCCAATAACAAAATAATGTCAGTTGGTAGTCTAATGCAGCTCACTAAAATATTATCACGTTTCTGATGACTTCTATGTTTGGAACATTTTATACATGCTACTCAACCGACACACCTAATCTGGAATGCTGCATCTTTGTGAAATAAAACGTGTAATTCTTTTGATCCCTTGAGTTCTGAGTGGCACATAGGACCCTAAGCTTTTAAGTTTCACTGGTAATGGTGTTGTTTATACGGTGTGGCGTTGCTAGCCTCACTTACGACCTTCCCTATTTTCCAGGCTTACTACCGAGTAGAAGAGGTTTGGGAGTTCATCGTCCGGTAATCGAATTTGGGCCATCCGCCAAATTCGTGGACATTCTACCCACGAACGACCAATGCACTGAGAATTGCCAAATATCTAACTGATGCAGCTGAGATATTTAAACCTGTGTCATTGAGTTTGTAGTCAGATAACTTACCATTGTGATATTTGCTGCTGTTTGACCCAGTGGCCTAGTGGATAACACTGCGGTGTTTGAAATGATGACTGCTGTGCTAGAGTGTCAATGAGAACACTGACACTCACTGATGATACAGATATATGCAACAGATTTGCCACAAATAGAACGAACTTGACATTCTGTATTCTACTGCTAAACACCAACAACAAACATATGAACGCTGTCTTAGAAATTGTAGACTGTTGATGGGAGATATGTGCGTAAAGCCACAGTCTTACAAATAGTATGAAAAGTCAGTAAGCGGTATAACTTCCTTTCATTAATACCTAGATGAAGATTATTCATGAATAAATTTTGGTTTTCATTTCACAACGTTCCGTCGTCGATGCTTTCCTCATTTTATACTTCTTGAGATATCAGCTGATAGTAGCTGACTGATAATTTACTACCAGCCCTGAAGAAATTTAAACTGGATACAACAATCAAATAAATAAACATAAATACAAATATAACGCATTTAAACAAACAGATTGCATTTAGAAGAATTCGAGTTTAGTATCACTGAGTTAAGCAATTTAATAAGTCATATGAATATAATTCACTCAGATGTCACCATCGTCAATGTTAACAAAGAAGATGATTTTGTCTTTATGAAATCATACTGTGACAAGAATCAGATCGAAACCCTATTGCCTCATTTACTCCTCATCAAACGTTCAGATATACGTTAGGCCACTTTCAAATGTGAAGAATGCATTAGTTAAGGATATATACACGGGAATGTAAGAGATAATCGATTAAAACACGCAGTTAACTGGAAAACTGACCTCAATAATTTTAATAATTAGTAAATGACAAACTGAAAAGTTTTTGGTAGGTGAATGAAGCTGTAAAAACACATCTAAGACATAGAATAACACTCCTTAGATTTGAAACTCCAAATCCCCTATAAGAAAGCAGTTACTCAGATGGCACTTGAGTATAGAAAACTCACTGCCAATTGAAGAATGCAGTAATAGCCCAGTGAATAATGAAAAGTGGTGTCTTTTTAGCGTTTTGATCACTCTTCATTCTATCGCAATAGTTTATTTTACTTCCCGTTGGATAACAAAAGTTTTTATATCATATCTCACTGCCAAGTGTATTTAACTTCCTCGTAAATCATTCATATTTTCACTTCAGTGATGTAAACACGACTTTTTATCCCTTGTTAAACTCACATATTCAATCTGGATTTCTTGATTCGATACAAATTCACTGTGATTGTCAATGGTTCTTAAAATTTCAGTAAACTTGCTTGTTGGACATGAATTTGAGGAGTGTTTGATTAATGAAAGTTTTTGAAATGTTCTATTTTTCTTAAGTCATTCGACTTACTGATAAACCAACTGGTATTTCAAGAACTGAAGACTCACGAAATTAAACACATTTCATGCATAGGAAACACTTAAACAGACTAGCATGAACCTAAGGATTTAAAAGACACGCATCTGATCCAGATTAGTTTCTGTGCAGTTAAATAAATGAAAGGCTTCGCTTCCGGATATGAGCATGAAATATGTGTTGTATATTATAAGCAAACACAAGGCATTTCGTTAAATAAAACCAAAAAAAATACTGTAAGCAAAATGCATTGATGCTGTTATTTTTATAGTTGTTTTTGGGTTATTTGCTAACCTCACTGTATTGCTTCGATAGACGGAGAGTATGCTGGGTCCACAAATCATCTGGAAATGAAGTGATTTGACCTCTCATACGCTGTGCATCTGCATTATATCTAACCTAAAATGAATATTTTTTAAGTGATGAGTTTAAACAAAATGCATAGAAACACTGCATCAGTATACAGACTTTACGAAAGATGAATTTATTTTGCTGGTTTAGGAGAAACAGAAAGGCGTATTTATCCTGAATAGTAATCATATGTCTCTTTATGGCAACCCACTTATATTAATCCGACAAATTACGCCAAATACCGAATTCATTGTCACTTGTGAAGAAACTAGAGGAAGAGACATTCACGATTTAATTTTGAAGGAAACTTGAACTCACAGTCAAGGATATATATATATATATCACTTGGTATATGAGGTTAGGTAAGCTCTTAGAACAACAGAATAGTTACAATGCCATAGATAAATCACCAAGATGAGTACCGATTAGGGACCTAACAATTTTTTATCTCCTAATATACGAAATATGCAGAAAATGCATGAATATACTGAGTTGTGATTTCGGGTTTGGCGCAGAGAGGAAGTCCAAATTTTCCAAGTCCTTACACTTTTTCTTGCTAAATGTGAGTTTTATGCAATCATATATTATCAATTATAATTAAATAACGAACTGCTTTTATTTATTCGTGTTGCATAAGTTTATTTAATATAACACACACAGAAAACCAGGAAGTACTAGACAGTTGTTTCATCCTAGTTTGGGAATCATCGGCAGTACGTACCCACTGAGGTTCAAACCAAGTACCTTCCGGTTACAAGCCAAGCCCATGTACCATTCGGCCACTGGGACCCGAATGAATGGCCAGTGCATGAATTCCAACTTCTACCAGTTTGTGATTTTAACGCGACCGCCAAGCAATGTCATTGGCGGGAACTCCATCCTAACTGCCGACTGGATGGACATCACTGGTCACGACTTCTCACTAGAACTCCAGGAAAGTGGGTTCGAATCCCAGTGGGTGCGTAATGCCGATGGTTCCCAAACTAGGATGAAACATTTGTCCATTACTCCCTGATTTCCAATGGTTCTCTAACTGATATCTATCCATGGTCAAACTCGTAAAAACAAATCTAATCCTTACAAACCAACGAGTGAAAATAACACACATAGGTACGGTACTGATAACTAGATGACTTTATGAGATCAATTTATTGCTCCTAATCATATCAGTGTAACCACACAGCTTTACAATTTGCTTTATATGTTTTTTCTTCCCCTTGTTGTTTATCTCAACTTTCTATATATCCAGTATAGGGGTTGCGTGTTTGCTGTTGATTCAATGAACAATTACAGTAAACCACAAGGGGGAGAAAATATACTTTTTTATATATGAAGCAAATTATGAAGTCATTTGAATACACTGGTATGCTAATGAGCAGTAAACTATGCCCGAAAAGTTACCCGGTTATCAATATTGTATCACTGTGGGTTATGCCAAATACGCTTATCTATTATGGAATCATATTCTACCAGAGTGCCCAAATTCTACTCTCACATTAATGTTGCTTTCATTTTTCTAGTTCAAAGTTAGTGGAATTTGAAAAATAGGATATCACAGATTTTCGATGAGTCGACCAAAAGCTTAAAAGTGATTTCAGCCGGTAGATGAATAAATAATCATGCTCAATAGTGTGCATACAACAAAAGTCTTTTTCAAAAATTTTTTCTATAACATTTACAAACAAACAACAGATGGGTAATGTATATCCCGTGCGACTTTTTCTTCTATGTGGTTCCAATTTTTCTAGCATGCATAATTTAGGGTAAACATACTTTGAGATCACGACAGTTGCGACGATATAAGACCTGAATTGAATGCGATAGGCAATTTTATTTTTATGTAGTTGAAGCGAAGAATAAGTTTATTTTGTTGCCGCATGAAGTTAAAAATTGGCAGATATCATATTTACAAAGTTCTAGAGGCTTGAATCAAGTGTGAACATAGTTGGCTTCCTATTTCTGTATAACAGATAAATTCTTTATTTTACGAAGGTTACCCTTATTAGCGTGCAAACCTTAAACATTCTGCGTCGCACAAATCCATATCTAAATTACTCAAGCCCAGCTATCTCGAGGACTAAGGTTAAGAGGAATTCAACCTCAAATGTGATAAAAACCCAATAATAGCCTAGATGTACACGGATCAGACTTCGGATTACCCACTTCATCCCGATGTAGCCAACTAAGTGAACACTACGGGATCATGAAGTTTGCACTTCAGATCTCATCACCAATCGACATCAGCTGGAGGATCTTTGAAAACCTAGAAGCAGCAGACAGCTGTCTCGCTTTACTCGGGGACTCTTCTGCAGTACGCAAGCATAAAACTGTAAACCCTAGGTGTGAATAAATGCCACTAGTTTGAAGATCAGTTAAGCGGACCAATGTCATTTACCTACCATCAAGGTTATACGCTCACGATATGTTTCAAAATACAAAGAAGTCGTACAATGTGCCATTCGAAAGGCAACTTCACTTGTACAAAGAAATAAACTATTCAGATTGTATGGGACGCATTCACACCGCTTGCATTACAAAATTAGAGTAAGTGAAGTAAAGGATTTACCTTTGTACCGACTATTAAAAACTTTGTTGTATACACTAATGAGTCACAACTTCGAATTTAGTTTAAATCACTTTGAAATATCGAACAATCTATGTATCATAAATACATTTGTTATGAATGTTTGACTCATCCAGCAACACAGACTTTATCCCACACATTCAACAGTTGGAAGAGAGGCAGGTTATCCTGCGAATAGTTAAAGTGACATGGATGGGAAAAGTTTGTACAACACTTACACTGCTAAACATTTTTGTGTTATTTGTTGCTCTCAATAGTTCTGGTGTATCATAGACAGAAGTGAACGTAGTTGGTTTCGGATTGTGTCTGAAAGAGATATTTAAGTAAGAAGAAATAAAGAAAACTGTTTCCAGTATTCCGACCAATGAATTACAATTCAAACCTACGCTACTCACAAGTAGCTTAAACGTTATGCACAAAATTCTTCTTCCTTATTGTTTGAGATATCTCATAGTTAATCATCTTAGTGTTTGAATTTCCCCTCAGATTCCATGCAATACATAACAGATAATATGTGTGCTTCTAACGTACATAAAAGTGAAAACTGTGAGTGTCAAAAAGGAACAAAACAGGTTTGATGAATTTTAATGATGACTAAATAAAATGATGAGAATTGAATCGTAAAATTTGACACCCACTGAGAATCATATAATTAATTTGATTGCCACCATGTTAACAAAGGCTGTATTCTGACATATATGTTACAGACCGACTGAACAAAGGCACAAATGAATCGATTTCCTTATAATCCTTTTTTTGAGAATAATTTTAGCCTCTGACACCGATCATATTTGAAAATTTCACATAAAATACAATTTTAGATACCCTAGGTTATGCGGTGAAGTGTGTGTACACCTATACCAAGGAGCAGGATGTTTTCCGTCTTTTACCACTGCAATCCAAGGAAGTGTGGACAAAAAACTCATTACTTATTGCACTACACTTCTGCTGCATCTTATAAACTTATCCTAACTCAAAATAGTCTATACTTCATCACAAATTATAAAGCTGAAACATGATATGGATACGACAGTGAGAAACCTACAGTAGCTAACTATCAACAATTAATTGAAAAGATTTATTTCCCGATACGAATTTAAAACAAGCAACCTTTACTTACAAATACCAAATTTCAAAAACACTCACGCTGTACAATATGGCTTCTTATCATATCCATGATAGTTGGATACACTCAACGCCATTCCGCAGTGTTGGCAACGAAAACACTTTCTGTGCCATTGCTTTATAAATCATGTGAAAAAAAAGTAAGAAAAGTCATAAAGTGAGAACAGTTGGTGACCAGCAGTAACTTCAATGTATAAAACACACATTATCGATTATCGATAAAAATGTATAACTGTCAGCATTTGTCTTTACTTCAATGTTAAGTGAAAATGAAATGATGTTTTTTGAAAAAAAAGATTAGGACAATGGAATGTAGATATAAATAATAAGCAGATGTGGAAAAGCAAGGAGAGAGCAGGTACATTTTATACAGCTCTCTCTCTTTCTTAACCGAAGTATAGCAGACAATAATGAGAACTGAAATGCTAAGCTGCAACAAAGTGGTTAGAATGAGAATCGCACATCCTCCAATGACCCCATAATTAAGTTAATAATAGTTAAATTTACTCAGAATAAACGAAACAAATGCAGCGAAGTTTTTTAATACCTGTTTCTTTCAAATATACACTTCTAAGACAGTAAGTCAGAATACACCAAAATCAACGGTTTGTGCAGAACAACATAGTTAATCATTTATATCACCGGTTGCTCGTCAGCTGCGTACAGTCTAAAGAAATTATTAAGTTTATGTACACAAATTTTTATCGGGGTGCAAGCAGCTAATGAAAATCCGATGAAATAAATGTTGGCACCATCTTATTCTGCAAAAACTATTGTTTTTTCTGTATTCAAGTTCAAAAAGGGAAGTATATGAAGTCCGTATAAAGTGTTAGATACAGTTTTTAAAACACAACAATCTTACTGATATTGTTAGAATGTCAAGAAATGCATTTTGTAAAATGTAATGAAACACCAGAAAAGTGAGGGAAATAAAACTAAAAATAGAAGCCAAAGAGGTAAGATACATGATCAAAAGAGTATTGCTCATCATTCCTGACTTTAAATTTGTGCTGAGAACTAAATTAGGAGGAGTAAGATATCTTTTGATTTCCACGTTTGGAGGATAGTGATGGAATTTTAGGCCACACATTGTTGACCGTCAAATATGGTGATCTGCTACTGGTAGTTTAGAGTCCCACACTAGTCTCTTCTTCACCGACACTGACGAAAGGGGAAAAGACAAGCAGTAGCTGGAAATCCTTTAGATATCTTGTCGTGTCCTAAAAGTACTCATGAGGTGTTTACACTGCTAAGAGCTAACTGAGTGTAGATAGAAGTGATCAGATGCATTGTTTTGAGACGCCTTTAACTGTCAATTAGAAAAGCCTAGTAAGAATCACTTGGCTATATTACATTCTGTGTCTCAATAGAGCCTGTGGTGAAATCATATTTTCCACCATGATGGGATTGAAATTTGTGCCGTTGACATTTCAGAGTTTTCAAAAAGTGTAATCTGGTGGAAGTTTGGTGTAAGCATGTGTGTGAGTTGCGAAACAAAAAGATCAAATCATGATTCAGTGACGAATGAAAGGGAAACAAAGGAATATTCTCATGCGATTTATATGACCGCTGAAGATGGTGAAGAAATTAAACGTATCTGTCGGAATGATTCAATCAATTTAGAGAAAAATAGGGCTAAAGAAAAAGTGGAGAATGCAAAGTACAGATAGTTGAAAGACCTTGTGTTTAAGGTTAAATTCACTGTAAAATTATTTAATTTTCACATTCTCTGGCTGAAGGTTTGGAAATTGTCTCCGAATACTTTGTAGAAATTCAAAATATATATCGTAGTCTCTGAAGTTAAATTATTATTCAGAGGATGCGAAAAAACTTTTGAAGGATAAATTTGTAATTATATTTAAGCCATGATATTTATTATCATGAAAAAGATATGCAATTCTACATGTACCGAAATTACTAACAGTGCCATCATCAAGAAATGACTTAGTATTTCAACGATTCGATTTCAATTTGATTCCCTTTTGAATGTATAAAATAAAACACCACACGCATTGGAACGAATTTTCCTTCTAATTACTATGTAAAATTTACTTATCAGCTGTTTCAAGCAGTTTTTTATGATATTAAAAGACTGTGCATAACTCACACATCATTCATTTCAAGTAAAAAACCAATTCTGGAGCAGGTCAAAAGTACCGAATTATTTCATTCTGAACACTCCAGTTATAGGATGTGAATACATTAAACAGATGCTAACTTCTAGTTCTTTTGATTGTAGTAATCACTAGATGTAATCAATGTTATCGCCTGATGACATATTGGTTAAGCACGCATTTTCGATGCCAAAGTTTCTCGGTAGTGAACCTTCTCATTCTTGTGAAGGTATGAATCTTTGAGTTTTGAGTTGTATAGCCATCAGCTAACGACAACGTAACGTTTTATCTTGTTTCAGAGTGAGCAGCTGATAGACAACTAATGACATAGCTCAGAAATGAATACAGCTGTTTGTTTAAGCTTATTGTTTTCATTCAAGTAACAAAAAGCATAGTAATTTTGAGTAATCTGATATTTTCATGCCAGTGGTACGCACAAAGCATCAACAAATAATATCAGCAGTGGAGACATGTAAACAATAGGGAAAACGAGATCCTACCATATGATTCTCCTCAAAAAGATTAAAATGAATAGCTGAATGCTCAATGCGTTTGAGTAAGCTGTATTGGTGTGAAGGTTATGATGCATACTACAACTATTATAAGTGTGAAGCGGTAGGTAGCGGTTATAGGTAAGACTTTGAGATATACTTTCTGATATACAAAGATCAAATAAAGAGTGTCAAAAAGTACATTTTTCCTCAGCATTCTCCAACAATTTACTTCTAAAGTGTAGACTACAACAAGGAAATTAAGGCTGCTTATATTCGAAGTATTACTTTTTGTTTAACTTTTTTTATGATGAGAAACGTTAAATGTGATTTTAAATTGCCTTTATTTGTGTAATTTGTTTAATATTCATGAGAAGTTGAAGGCACCAGCAAGAAACTATACATTTTAGAAAGCTGTCAGAATAGACAACTTCCATCACCTTAATTTATGTGTGCATCCTAAGATGCACAAATTATTTACTCACGAAAAGGGTACGAATACGTGACACACTTATTTGCTAACTGCAGATGTGTCGTATTTCGTGTGAAATAGACGTTTATTAGCTGCAAATTTTACATCTGTAGGTGATTTATTAACATATTTGTGTTATGTAAAATTTAAATACAGTATATGATGATACGGAATACATAGAAACATCTGTAAGGCAACAAAAAGGTGAAGGTTGATTTCTATATTGTCTTGGCTCTTGCAACTTCACGATCCTTAAGTGGTCGATAACTTTTGCTGGCAGGCCACATTTAAGCTAGTAAGACTAAATAATCAGATGGCACATTTCATAAATTATAGGGAAAATGAATCATGAACACAGTATAAACACTGAGCCTGTATACTCGGAAAATAAATGTCACGTAACTCAGTGCAGTTTGACTGAAATCTGAGGCACCATTCTGTTTACGCAAGGAAAATAAAATATAGATAATATTTTACTTGAGGATATCCTCAAGTAAAATTATTGCAATACAAATCGACTTCCACCCAGCACTATCATTGAACAGCAGAGTAGTGCGGGACAGAAATATATAAATATTTATCTTATTAATTGTTGAATATCAGTACAAAATGTTCACTAACCTGATCAAAACACCTAATCACTTCGAAAGGATATACAATTTCACCACAAGAAGCACAATCCTTATTAGTATTCATTTTGAAGTCTAAAGTCGGTTTCTGATTTGTATGTTACGAAGTAATTTCCCCGTACTTCGTCTAAATTCCTGACAAACCAAAATCAGAAAACTGAAATGAACACTGAACTGTGATCAACTATTCTGATGGATACAAACAATCAAGGTCACTGTTCAAAAGCCAAACCTAAGTATTTATGTAAGCCTAAAACTCCAGGTGAATTACTGTAGAGTCACGAGCTGAAGGACCTGTAAAGTGCTATTTATCTTCCACATGTGATGGGTTTCGTTGATTTTGTCATCTTAGAGAAAGAGAACTTTCGTGAAGTTTACATTTCCAGGCAGAGGTATTGACTGAGGTAGTTCTCTTCACTGTAGTCCTATGAGAGGTCAGTTGCCTGAGATTATCTTCTGGCAACAAACTAAATTAGGTCAAGGGAAGAAACATGGTCGACTACGAATATTGCAGCCAGTAAAGTAACATAATTCCTGGTTTGTTCACTTCGGATGATATGATATGGCCTTGTTATGATTATGAGCTATAATTTCTGCTCAAAACATCATCAGTAAATATAACTGTATAACACTTTGTGAATTATGAATATAAAATCTTATATATAGTGGCGTTATACTCTGCCACTCTGCCCAAGTTTTATACTTATATGATATGTGCGTCCGTGGCACAGAGGTTAGGATGCTCGCCGACCATGCATGTGGTCCGGGGTTTGATCCCCTGCCAACGCACACCTGACGTCAATGCTCAGCCTACAAAGTTTGGGCCAACGATATCACATGCTGAAAACTCCATACTTCTCCACAAAATACTGTATGGAATTAGGCTACAATCAAAAATCAAAAAATATTTTCAAGATTTTCAGTGAATTCGCTGTGTTACACAAAGAGACTATTTAGCAGACTGTCCCAACTAACTGTAATGTCAGAAAGAACAACCAAACTGTAACTTCACCATACAACAAAATATGTGCAATTTACATAATAACTTTTCCATGCCTGTACAAGTGGTATGCTCATGCATTAACTGGAATATATACATATATATCATATTAAATATTCCTACATACCTTCACAATGATATTTGTCAGCTGTAGATTCCAAAAGACGTATCTTCTAAATATACCTAACCTGTTATCCTATCAGGATAGTCCCTGACAGAATAACTCGGTCGCAAAAGTGTACATTCTCAGAAGTAAACCTATCCTTATAGGTTGTGTTTACCGATCGCCATCATCAAACTGCGAATACGATAACGTACTCAGCAACATATTTAATGTTGCATCCAATCTTCCCTTCAGTTATAATATAATTGGAGGTGACTTCGATTTGCCTGATATATCATGGAGTACA